ATATAGTGGAGGTTCATTCCTCAGCAAAGTCATCTAAGTTAAGAAAAAGTTCGACATGGTTGTTCACAGGCACAGTTAAGAGTAAAGCTATGCATTCTATGCATTTATAGAGGTCGGCGAACTACCCATGGCTAGGTTCTCTTCAATACTGAATAAAAAGGTACTATAAAAGGTGCGACAACGACTAGAAGATCAGAAGATCAATATAAAACGTTACGATTACATTTCTATTAATGACAGATGCACTTCAACCAAGTTAAGCTGAATCAGTGGGATCGGTCTTCATTTCGAGCAACGAGAAAAACAAGCCCAATTTTAAAGAGCAAATCGAAACCGTCTTGCTGTGTAATTAGTTAAATTTGCGTATCTTTTTTTCCATTATTTTTAAAAATATTCTAACAGTGAAACACACAACGATTCACAGCGATATTCGTCCTTCTAGCAGACTCTATTGACTTACTAGCTGATCGTAACCAATCTTTTTTCTTACTATTTTTCAATCATTTTATTTCGTTGATCTGGTTTGGCTGCAAGCCAGCTATGAGTTCTACAGGCTATTTTCGTTTCTTTTTTCTTTATGATGTTTTTTATAAGTTTGCTCATCACTATGATCTCATTAACAATTTACAATACCTCTTAGGTGACGTGGATGTCCGATGCACTTTGGTCTAGAAGGAAAGAAAAAACCTTTGCTAAGCGTGCACCTGAAAATCGGCGGATAGCTGAGAGTGTGAAGGAGGTCATAAGTTTTCCCAAAAAAAGAATAAGGTTTTTTCTTCGTTGTTAAACTCAATAGGAAGTTCGATAGGAAATCGCTGACTTGGCTGTCGCGTATTTTCACTTTCACATCTTGAAAAAGTTGACTCATTGGTTCGGAACATCTCGACTATGATTAACGCTCGGAAGAAGAAAAAGAAAGAATAGACGAAAGACACACTAAAAGAGACGTTTCTTAAATTAATAGACAACCGTAGTCAGTGACATTGTTGGGAAATCCATTTGCCTCTGGTTTCATGCTTGGTATTCTGTGTATAGCAATCGGATAACTGTATTACCTTTGCGAATTAATAACTTCTTCAACACGTGCCTCAACTGGTCACCATATTCAACCTATTATATCCTTCCAATTGCGGCTATCAATTGTCCGCAATAATCGCTACCACCGTCAGTAAATTCTAGTCAAAAGCCAGAGAACCACCCTGCGAGCTATGAGGATTGAAAATTCGCAGTGATGATGATGAGAGACAGTGATGAAGAGCTAGGGAACTATTTAGCACTGCTACTGTGGATTTTAGTGAGAACAACAATCGAACAACATCCGATAATCACTGAGGAGAGAAGGCGACAGACGCCCAAAGCTCGTCCGAACCTTAACGCTAATCGGACCTTCTCCGCTGGTAACGGTTGCGAGGCAACAAGGCGAACAACGGAAACGTTGAAGCTCACAGATGACATCAGGATATACTATCTAAATTTCTCAACACTAGTCTTCCGACTTCTCTTGTTACTACATTTTACAGGAACTAACCACTTTAAAGCACCTTTTGTGTTTCCTTCCTTTACATTCTTTATGCCTTTTTCAAATTTCCTTACATCCCAGTGCGCATTCCTACTTTCTGTGCACTTCCATCCTTGCTGTAGTTTACAATGCCCATTCGTCATACATTAGAATATGAGAAGATCCAATGTAGTAAATGAGGTCGCCATCTCTACTTTGTAAACCCTTAGCATATAATATGACACACTCCAACTAAGTGTCGTTTTTTGTACATCCTCTTTTACATTTCTTCACTGATTTCCTTTTCTTCTTTTTTATTATCACAGAATATGGGAACTAGGAGGCCTAACATCCAACTTGAAATCGATTTCATAGCAAGGTACATGCCATTTTACGCTATCTTATTGATGTATAGGTACGATGAAACAAAGAACATAGATCTCGTCTCAGAAGAAATTTGATAAGCGCACACTTTCAGAGATAAATAATACGACCGATCTAGGATAAAGGCAACATAAAACAACGACTTTATCACATCGAAAAACTATTAAACTGATGACATCGAAGAGTTGTTATATTTTAATGGTACCATATAAAAGTTGCTGACTAGTTATGGCTACGTTGGTGTTGAGAAAATCGACTCTTAGGTCGGGGAGAAACCTAGTTCATTGAGTTTTACAGCGGATACAATAGTGATCCTGTTCAGTTTTGTACAACAAAAGGATAAAGAAGATAAAGCTCTGTGCGTTGACCAATCCGAGGGACACGCCATGCATTTGACCTCATTAAATATCGTTGAAGGTGACTGAATACATATCTGGCCTTCATAATGGCTCGCGGTGGCCTACCGATGTATCTATCCAGTGCTGCTATCCTCCCAGACAAGTCTGGTACCAATTCTCCGACCCCGGAGGGATGGAAGGAATGGTGGTCCACATGTCCGGGGATCGATTCCACGTTTGTGTTGTGGGGCGCCGTCTTTTTAAGAAAGTTGAAAGATTACATATCAATTCCTTAAAATCTTAACATGTTTTAAAAATGTAGCGGTTCATTCGTATCAGTCACAATCTCATTACTCATCGAGTAATTTGAGCGGTCATCAGTAAACCAGTGAAGTTCAGTCCTTTCCGTAAATCAAATTGTTTCTCACCTTGATAGATAGGAATAGATATCGCTAAGCCACTATGAAGCGTCAATTCGTCAATTCATAGCAGAATAACAGTTACCAATGCTTGAATAAGTTATCACATTGTCTGTCAAGATGTCTTGTATTGTGCATAACCGAAGGTAGACGTTTTGCGAATGTTATAATTCGATTACTAGTCGCTGTCTTTCAGCGGTTTACGACGCATCATCCTACGAGAAGAGAATTGTCTCCTTTTCGGAACATGTTCAGAAATTTATCAAGGTGGAGAATCAGCGAAGATCCTCATGAACAATTCCGAGATGTTGTCTTGTCATCACTGTCACGTAACCTAGTTATAGGAACTTGATACTCTGACACTTATGAAACATTTTCCAGGATAATGGTATACCATCCCTCGAGCAATCCGCTCACATCACCCAACAGCCTACCTATTAGGTAACGTCAGATTCTGAAAGAATCACTAGTTTCCTTGTGCCTTTAAAAGCATATATCCAAAACATACATGGATTCACTTTCAGTTCGATTATGTGTTCCGAATGGTGACAAAGATGGTTATCTCCATGAATGTTTTAACATCTAGCTATAGCGAGTGGCTGGGTGTTCCTGGGTGCCAAAGTGCAAGTCACAGTTAGAAACTCACCCATCAAGGTCAGCTGAGTATAGAAAATTCAACATTACCATAAAGAAGAAGACAGCCTGTCCAATCACTAAGCTAATAGTAAAGTGATGATTATGCAAGACGGCACAATAGTTATGAAAATAGATTACCTGGGTGTAAAAAGACCTGAGAAACGAGATATCTAAGAGCTTCGTAGCATAGTTTATACAAATCTCTTCCTTACTATCATCAATTCAAATATAACAGATCATTTAATTGAGAAGAAAACCGCAACAATAACAGGAACAAATGGACCAGGTTAATTTATCATAATAAATACGCCAGTTTAACTTCCTAAGTTCTGGGAAATACTCTTCAAACACGTGAGCTTTCAGCGCCTCCCCAATGACAAAGTGGATATTGTGAACGCCAATTACTGCAGGTCTATCAGCAGATCTATTAGACGATCACAAACCAGAGAGCGGCTATAAGATTAGAGACGATTCGACTTAATTGCAAAGAACAATTAGACGCTAGGCAATTACAAGCACGCTCCTCGTGCACGCAAAAAGTGAAGGACATAGGATAACACTGTAAAAGATCTGGAAACACTCAACTTTTGTTGCACGAGGAGTAATTACTGACTACAAGTTCCCTAATTGCACATTAAATTTACATACTCAGCTTTATGCACCTATGCTGTGAACTTCGCCACGCAATCTTCAATTTGCGCTCCCAACACAAGAACATTAGTGGAAAGGATACTAGTTGTTATAACACAACTCAATATGATTATTTTCTCTATCATTCAGGTCTTATCCACAGCTTTCCTATTAAGGGTACCGCGATATAAAAGCCCATCCCTGCCTTAGAAATTTAAATCGGTGGAAGTACCACACTCAATAAAGATGACAATGTGATACCAAATTTAGTGACGCAAACTCGTTCCAATAGGAAACGACACGTTCTCGTATGAATAAAGCATACACATGTCAATAGCTGCTACAACGATGGTGTCTTTAATGGCAAAACCATTCACAGCACCGAACATAGGTGCACGCAAAGTATCTAACTCCACATTCTGACTGAGGACTTCAGACAGCCATGGTGACTGACGAGTACCAGATGAAACGCTATTCCTAAAAGTATGTGAAATCACAGTTCTTTAGGAAATACTAGCAACTTACGCTAACATGGTCGTTAAGATAAGGACAAAGTAATAAGAGCTTATAAAGTCGCAAATTCTTACACACCACGACACATTCCTCTTCGTTTTCAAGAGAAAGAAATGCACACATATAGTTAATAGAAAATCGGCCCTGGGAACTTCTAGAGTTACTTTGATTAATTTAATTAGTTATTAAACATTACCACATCAAAATTCTAAAGCAACCTTACGTATAAAATTTAGATCTGCAATGAGAAAAGAATGAAACTGCGACGTTGAATTTGATATAGAGTTCAAGTGGAACATTTCTTCACTGTCTTAATTACTGCTTGGAGTTAGATTGCAGAAATAATTTTCAATGACAAATAAAAAAGATACTTAGATAGTCAGGGGCGTGTGTGGCATATTGGTCGGAGACGCCCTGCAATACACACGTAGAATCGGTCCCTGCCCCCGTAGCTCGCCAAATCTTCCATCTCTCTGAGGTCGGCAGATTGGTACCAGGCTTGTCTGGTAGGCTCGGTACATCGGTAGACCACTCCGAGTCGTTGTAAAGGCCAAATATGCGTTCAATCACCTCCAACGGTGCTCAATGAAGTCCAATGCATGCCGCATCCCTCAGGGATTGATTAACGCCGAGAGCTTTATCCTTTATTTTTGTTTGGATAGCTGGATGGCCCATCCTCATTGATTGTGCAGGCACCGGCATAATTTCCACTTTTTCGGAATTTTGGTGGTTTAGCCATCGTGGTTATCTGGAGTTCTGAGGTTAGCCTAGCCAAAGTCTACCTCAGGCACACGCAATCGCCACCCTTGTGGATCATAGGGCGATTTGCCACCATGCAATAAGTTTGATACCAGGATGGTGATGGTGGCGGATCGTCGTATTGGTTTACTCTTAGCTGAGCTCTCTAACGGAAACGCCGGACTCCTTCTCAGCTTAGGAGGCCCACCCAGGAACAGCTCCCAGTTACGAAAAGGCGATAAATCGTTGGGAGGAAATAAAAGTGACAGTGATTGCAAACGTGGAGAAAAATATGGACGATTCAAAAACAGAAACTTACGTGTTGACGGCTGACACATCCCAGTGTACTAGACTTCCATCTGCTGAAGCACAAACAAGATGATTACCACATTCAGGATGGAATCCAACCTAAAAGGGAAATTATGAGAAAAAATATGCACTAGAAGAAAGCAAAAATGGTGCGTCTAAGTGACCTGTGTAACTGTTGAAGTAGCCGCATCAAAAGAGTTTGTTATTAAGTCATGTGAAACACCTCTCACATCACAAAAACCAACAACACCATGATCCGTTCCGAACGACAACTGGAATTTCCGTTCAAAGAAAACCAATAAAAGAGTGGAAAAGAGACGGGACGAGATCAAACAATACCAAAAGAAAACTTCTGGAAGGGATAACGGTTTTTTTTTAGATCGAACGGCAAACAGTGTATTCATAAATACGGAGAATTCACTGCACTTGATAACGGGTACAAGACTACCACTACTCTTCAAATTCCAAAACTATATGGAAGTGAAGCGAAGTGTTCAACAAGAGGAAATTTTGGTAGAAAATCTTGTTGAAATCAAAACTTTCTAACAAACCAATCGCAATAAAAAAGTTTAACAGTTCTTGGCAGAAGAGTGCAACCGCAACGCATTTAAGGTAGGAAGAATCACAAGAACCAAAACATCATCGTAATTCCACTTTTCTTAAAGGATAGAATAAAAAAATAAAGCTCTCGGAGTTGATCAATTACTGAGGGATGCGCCATACATTCGACTCCATTTAGCATCGTTTAAAGGTGATTGAATGCATATCTGGGCTTTACAATGACTCATGGTGGCCAATTGATGTATAAAGCCAGTGCTGCTATCCTCCCAGACAAGTCTGGGACTAATTTGCAGACCCTGGAGGGATGGAGGGTTTGGTGAACCTGAGGCGCCGAAATCGATCCTATGTGTATTGCAAGGGGTTTTCGACCACTGAAACGTGCTCTTCACTTTCAAAAAGATTTCGCTTTTCTTAGGGTAACATGATGTAATAAGCGTCAAATTTTGTCGACATGAAATGAACCAAAAATAAAAGCAATGAATGAAAACTGATGAGATACCTAGATGCTTACCAAGTTCGCTTGAGCAAAATGGTTCGTTATAGCCGTGACTGCATCGAGTCGACGTTTTGATGGAATACAAACCACCGATGGTAGAAACGAGCCTTCACGACAATCCCATATGAGAACTTGACCGAGTGAATGACCTGTGGCGACCATTGTACCTCCACTAAGCATGCAGATGGACCGCACTCCAGAATTTCCCTGAACAGAAGAAGAAACTAGGCGCTCAGAGGAATTTATAACAAGAGAACAAAAAAAAAAGAAAAATAAAACCCGGGAAAGGGATAAAAGATAAAATTCTTGGCGATGATCAATCCCTGAGGGATGCGCGATGCATCCGATTTCATTAAACATCATTGGAGGTGAGTGAATGCAATCTGACCTTTACAATGACTCGCCATGGCACACTGATTTCTCAAATCACTGATGACTGTTGCTATCCTCTCAGACAAGTCTGGTACCAATTTTCTGACCCTCGATCACATGCGTATTGTGGGACGCTTCCAACTACGGCGCAACGCGAGCCAAACCTCGTAGTAGTAATAGCAAACCGGGTAAAATGAAAGATTAGCATACCGTGATTGAGACTGGAATCACAAAATGTGCAACAGCTTTCCATTCAAAGGAACGAAAGCGCAGTGAACACGCATGCACCGAAATAAGAAATAACCCACATTAGCAAAAGTCGTGACTTTTCCCGACTCGATATCTATTTTTCCAAGAGATCCATTTGAGGACCCACTAAAAAAAACACTTAGTTTGATGGAATAGGTATAAAACTAGACAAATCGTAGAGATTTCACCTGATGACACTATGGCTATCAAAACGACAAAGAGTCCGAGCATCCCCTTTCCCGTGAACGTTGTGGAACTCTCTCTCCTTAAATGACGAACATAGTAATTTGCACAGGATATCGAAGATTACAGCGATCATTTTGTTTAGAAAATATGAACTGAAATACCCAAGTACCTTGATGAATTCCACGTCTAAGCTTCTGAACATTGATATTCCTCCATTGGTGAAGGACATGCAAAACAAATCAGGACCAAAACCACTAAAAATACTGACCTGGTCTTAGAAAAATAAAAAATATCACAACAACCTTAAATTTTCAAAAAAATTCACAATCCCCTCCTTACGGTTTACCGCTACATCGTGGCTGGAAGGTGTTCCTGGATGTAGGGGTGTGATGTACAGCGGAGAGACTCATCCCCACAGCAGTGTCTCCCAAGTTGAGGAGTTCGTTGTTTCACTCAAGAGGTCCAGCTAAGAGTAAACCAATAACAAGATCCACCACCACCTTTGCATCAAACTAGCCACATGGTGGCAAATTTCCTTGCGAACCACAACGGCGGTGGCTGCCTGTGATGGTGGCGACATTGGGCACACGTAGGTTGACCCAGAGACTCCAGGGAACCATAATGGCTAAACCAGCAAAACTCCGAAGAAATGGAAGTTATGCTGAGGTCCGCATAACCAGTGAGGACGGGCCATCCAAGTATCCAGGCAAGTACTTATTTGATACTTGAATGGCCCGCAATCACTGTTTGAGCGGGTCCCAGCATAATCTACATTTTTCGGAGATTTGCTAGTTAAGCCACTGAGGTTTCCTGGAATCCCGAGGACACCTTGGCCAAAGTCTGCCCGAGGTCTTCACCACCACGAGTAGTTGCAGCCCTTGTGGATCAGAGGGAGATTTACCACCATGCGACTTTGATACCAGGACGGTGGTGGATCCTGTTATTGGTTTACTCTTAGCAAGGTGGAAATGCCGGACTCCTTCTCAGCTTGGAGACCCTGCCAGGAGATGAATACCCCGCTGTACATCGCAGTCCGACACCCAGGAACACCTCTCAGCCACGATGAGACGGTAAACCGTTGCGAGGTATCCAGGTAAGTAAGTATTTGAAAGGCAGAAATTTTAGAAATAGGAAATAGTTATCTATGCACCATATGTCATAAGGATCGACTTCAAGTGCAAATCTGCATAGTTCTTCAAAGGGATCTGCCACTTCAATATCATCATCGCATCGCTTCCATAAAGAAACGCAACGACCCTCAGAATAACCTATCCAGACCACACGACTTCCATTATGTAGAAAGGAAACCTGTACCGTTATACATAGAAAATAAAAAAAGGAAAAAAAACAAAGAGAAAACTTTAGAAGAAAATATGCCTTGCGAAGTTTCGTGAATGTTTGCTGTGAATAGTCACTTCTTCCCTTTTTAGCTTCTTCCTTATTCGAAGACATTGTGAAACCTGTAGTTTTACCAAAGCCACCGTTTTCCACCGGCCACTTCGCAACAGCTGTCATCTGAAACAGTACAATCTAATGAACCACTGACTGAGAGAAAGCCAAAGCAAGGGCCTCAGTGATGATGTGTGTAAGACAGGGTTCGAACGGGCTTGGGGTCCAAGTTCTCCAAATATCCCACAAGCACAGTAGTTATATTTCACACCATACCCTGTCATTAAAAACTGTGATAGGCTATGAATAAAAGGTTGACACTGCAATGAACCACGTTAGAAATAAACACCTCAAATCTGTCATGAAATCCAAACAGCTTGCCAACTTTGAACTTTCGCACTTTGGCTTTTTAACTGAACTGAATAAAATTTGATAAACTTCTGACACTGTTGTTTAGAAAGATATCTGAACTGGACATGGGTAACCTTTAAAAAGAAATGATGGAGTAAAACGGAGCGAAAACAACAAATAAAAGTGGCGCGCATGCTTCGCTCCTGGGTCTACAAAGATAGAGTAGAGCGTAATATTACGTGTTCAATCTGGCGTTTTGTTCCATCACTAGTAGGTTAACGACCTGTGCTAATAAATGGATAAATAACGGCATAACTATGATTATAATTATAATTGCAATTATAATTATCAGAAAGAAAGGCGAAACGTAAGACACGCGCGGTGTAGTGGTGGACAAGTTAGCCCACGGAAAGGGTACTAACGGGTTCAAGCCCTACTGCATACACCTGTGGTCCGGAGTTTTGCAGATATCTCAGAATCACTGCGGTATTTCACATCACACCCTGCCGTGAAAAATAAAAGTTGGTAATTAATAAAAAGTCAAGCGATACATTTTTCACTTGTTCATTTGTTTACATAACCTAACGTGGGAGGATAGTACAGTGGCAATGATGCCGATCATCACAAGGCCGATGCTCGTTCGATCCCGCTTCGGGACCACCAAGCCTGTCATCCCTCCGGGGTCGGTAAATTGGTACCTGACTTGTACCAGAGAAAATTGCTCTGTGCAACTTAACTAATAACGCTCTATTCTGGCTATCTCAGGAATCCAGGGAGAAGCGACTCGACCAGCATTTATCGACATTCAAGACGAAATGAAAATCGTCAAGCAGCAGCTGTGCCATACTTGAAAGCTGGAAGACCTCCAATGCGAAAAAACAAATCGAATGTGAGAAATGCAAGCTGAGAACGGCACAGTCGAAGTGAAAGAGGAGTCACGTGAAAACTTTAAAAAATTGAATGATCCGACAACAAATCCTGTTTGAATCCCAGTGCGCCTTTCATTCAGTTCATTGTCTCACATCTGTCATCTACGAAGGTTTTCGGGATTTGCATGTGGATTCGGCTTCGAGTCGAAGAATTTCTCCTCTTTCCCAGGTCTCCACAATAGGCAGTAGAGGCGACATTTGAGAATAAGATTAGGTGGGTTTTTTTCGGACATATGTAAATGCTCTTAACCAGTCAAAATCGCGGGAAAAGTGTGCTTGGTTTGTCCGGAGCGCAATCGAAACAGGGGTTATGGATGTATTGCATAACGTCTCAACCTATTGAACTTTTGGTGCCTTTAGCCGGGTAACAGGAGACTTATAGATTTCATGAGAGTTATAGAGCTCAATAATATATTTCTACATAGGTAGAAGTTATTGTGCTTAGTCATACAGTAAGTTCCATATCCTAATCGTAGTGATACTTTCCTATGTAGTAAAGACAGTGCCCCTCCCAACGGTTTACCGCCTCATCGTGGCTGGGAGATGTTTCTCCATGTCAGACTACGATGTACAGCGGGGGGATTCGTCCCCTGGCAGGGTCTCCCAACCTGAAAAGAAGTCCGGCGTTTCCATCAAGAAGCCTAGCTAAGAGTAAGCCAATACCAGGATCCACCACCGTCCTGGCATCAAAGTCGCATGGTGGCAAATTTCCCTCCGATCCACAAGGGCTGCGATTGCCCGTCGTCGTGCCCACCTGGGGCAGATTTTAGCCAGGCTATCCTCGGGATTCCAGGGAACCACAATGGCTTAGCCAGCAAACCTCCGAAAGATGGTGATTATGCTGAGGCCTGCACAACTAGTGGGGGCGGGCCGTTCAAATATCAAGTATCAAGTAAAGACAGTGCCGGAATGAACTTACATTCCACTAGGGTCTTGTATGCGGTGCAGCTGCACAAAAGCTCAAGCTTGAGCAAGAGCACCTTCACACATACATATACATAAATAATATAAACAGTAACGCGCATAACACAACGGTGTAACGAAGACAGTAAAGATTAACACTGATAATAATAGTAGCTTCTGCAGTGGATTTATTATGTAGTAGAAGGCACGAATCACAAGTCATACAAATATTGCTGAACTTGGAAGAACTAGTTCCACGAGGAAGTGTAAGAATAGGCGGGATGAGTTGATATTGCAACAGAATAGCATTCCCTAAAAATATTCTGTTACACGACGGCTAGGGAAATTGCTACGAATGGTGAGGTTGAGGGTGCGTAGCGTGTAAAGAGGTTGATGTGTCAGGTGATCATGGGGTGCTTGCCTATGGCACATAGCTTTTCCTCAGTCCTCGCATGTTAAAATAGTCCTTGGACGACTCATTAGCTTGAAACGATATCTGGGTCCTGTACATATCACTAATACCACAAAATGAAAACTAATTCCTGTCCTTTGGCGAATTCCTGCATTCGGTGCTGAAGGCAGACCAAGGGTTTGAAAGTTCCGATGTGGTTATTGGTGGAGTTTTGAAGAATGCCTTTTATAAGCTTTTTCTAACCAACACCACAGTGGCGGTGCCACCAGTCCGATGCTGCACAGTGGAAAAGTACGAAATGAGGGCAGCATTGCTTTACTCAATTGCTCTATGCCAGATTGGCTTTGCACTTAGTTTACAAAGGTTATTCGATATGTATATGTATATATATGTGTACGTCCCGTGCTTAGATTGAAAATCGCTCTAAATAAGCAGATTATGACCAGAGTGACATCCAGGTGAATAGGAGAGTAATGGGCAACTCGACTAAACGCTGGAATCAACACACGGCCATGTAAGGGGAAGGATGAAATACTGGAACAATGTGCTCACGAAAACAACACGAACGTACTGGCAAACTCCATACTACAGGAGTGTGAATTTGCTGTTAAAGAAGAGATAAGAACTAGTGAAGCTTCTGTGTAGCGCTCATTATTTGGAAGGAAATATTTGACAACGATTAATTGCTTTAATACGAATTTCTCTGTTTATCGCGGCTCCAGCACTGTTTCTATGTGAGATAAGTAGAGTATGTTTAAGAGAATAATTGGTTTCATAAAAAACGACACATTTGCGTTACCATCAGTCATGCCAGAAGGCGATTTCTTCCACCGTATGGAGGAAACTCTCGTATATCACAGCGTGCTTAGACAATAGAAGTTAGAAGGAAAACGGCTGGAATCACAGTCTTGTAATTGGCGAAGCTTCGGTGATCTTTGCGAATACTTTTCCCATCCTCTGCAGCTTCAACTACCACTGCTGGCTGCTCTCCTCTCTTTAAGACATTCTTTTATCGCCTGTCTGCATTGTTTTGCAAGTTTGGACCTGGGCTGTCGGTTGCCTGTAGTTCGTGTGATTACATGCTAGCGTATGAGCTCGATAGTTTCTGGAGAGAGACGTCTTTTGGGACGTTCGACGACACAGCTTCTACAGTGCTAACGTAAAGATGATGAAATAACCGATCCTGTTCTTCGTCGATGCTATCGAGAAAGGCAACTTCCTCATAGGCGGGAAATGAACCTTGTTTATGGTGGTTATGAGACTTTTTTTTTTGAATTTAGTGACTTCTTCTCCTTTCTACGAGAAATGAAATCTCGCACGAAAGAGGCGGTGTTCTGGTCTTGTGTAGAATTTTGGGAAAACAGCGATATCGGCCAGGCAAAACTTTCGATTTTCTGTTAAATGGTCTGTTTCCTTATCGTAGTTCCCATTGGGAGTCTCCCACGATCAGCGGCGAGGGTGGAGACTTTTGTAATCGCGCCTTATCAAGAATAGCCTTTAATTATTATCAATTATTCGAACAGCCGCCCATTTTACTCGTTCTAGTTTGGTCGGCGACTCCCAATGCGACGTTTTTCTGGGTTCAATATTAGGGTTAAAGTTACCGATAGTGACCTTAGAGGATGTATGATCTTCTCTGTAGAACTTTTTCAAGTCCATAAAAAACGCTTTTGCTTCGTCTTCATTACTGATGTCAGTGCGTAAACGACGAAAATTGTGAAAGCGGGTACTGAACCACATCTCTTTAATCGTAAACGTCAGATACGGGTTATTAGTCGTCCTAATGAATCGATGTTCAAGGGTAAGCTGGTCTTGACGAGAACGTCGCCGCCGCCTACTCTTCTACTGTCGAATGTTCCGACGTACAGTTCCTCTCCGGTGTCATAGACGGCGTTTAATGAGTGGCATCTTATTCTATGCATGATCAGGTACTTAATAGAGAACTCAGATGCAAATGAGTGCTCATTTTATGTAGAGATCATCACCCTAGTCTTTTGCAAATTAGGCAGTCTAGAGTGGCTCCGAGATTCTAGCAACCTTTCCGCACTCATCCTGCCTAACGCTGGCCGCAGCGAGGCCCTTCCGGGATCAGGGGAACAGGCCCCTCGTATTTTACCGTTTTAGGATTTGATACACAAATGGAGCTTGCTGAGCTCTTAATGTGAGGGCTGAGTATACTCACGGGTGGCTTGCGAGTCTCTCCCAGAGCGGATATGGAGGTGGTTTGTTGGAGGCGACTCCTAACCGCCTCCCGTATTTTCCTGTCACTTGATTGCAGGCTTTTATTCGAAATGACTAGTAGAATACAATCCGCATAAGCAGGAACACACCCATGGAGTATGCATGAATACGTCCTTGTAAATGCAGAAGATATGTACCAAATCGGCGCAGCGGAAACAGTGAGTCCATTTCTTGGATCCACTTGCTTCTCATGGAAGCTAAGGTCGCTCTTGATCCGCGATTAACCTCCTATCCTCCACCTTAGGACGCGCTAGGTTGCCTCGCGACTAACTGATATAGGATCCGTCTATGAGAGAGATACGCGGTAGAGTTACCCTTCTATGATTACGTTAGTTCGATTCCATGCCGTGTGCTAACCAATCCTCGCAGTCGGACGAGGAAGGAAGTAAATTAAGGAAAGATAAGGAAGGAAAGAGGAATAGAGAAGATAGGAAAGATAAAAGCCGCATGTCATTGTTCAGGCCAAATGGGCATCCAATCACCTATACGAAAGTTAACGAAACCTTAGGGATTGTGCTGTGATTAATCGAAGACAAACGCTATGTACTTTCTTTTAAACACAGCACTGGTTAGCATTTTTACGTTTTCTTGATCAAAATATACGAGATTGAGTAGCCTACATCCGATTGTTTTGTCATCTTCTCTACGCAGGAAGATATGAACAGAAGCTTTAAATTATTGAACGAGCAGTCTGACTACATTACATACACCCGGGAAAAACTGAAAGAGAACTGACTCCAATTTCTTAACGTTCAAATAAACTTATCAAGTAGCTGTTACATGACAAAGTGGTGCCGAAAACCTAGTAACAAAAACATCCTGGTTCATTCCCTCTCTTGCCCCCTTCACACACAAAGAGGGCGATTTTGACAAACGTGTTTCGAACAGCGAGCTCTGTGTGCACGAATAGGGAACTAAAGGAGAAATCGCGCGACTTGGCTCGGCAAATATCCATCTCCAATGGCTTCGAAATAGTAATCACACGAGATAAGTATAGAAGGAGAGCGACGCGCCGAAACGAAACACTTGGCCAAAAGAAAGTCCGTTTATGCTGCCCTTTATTAGCGATGAAGTAAGCGTAGCTATAAAAGATGCTTAAGAAGGGAAGGTTTAGAGGAATCGGTAGCGATAGTTCAAATACCACCGGCTACTCTACGTCGCCAATTAGTTCGTAACCGCCTGTATGACCACCTATGTGAAACAACGAATTGCGTAATTTGCCCTTACGGCAGGGACGGTGATTGCATGAGTTCAGGTACGATATACCTGATCTCTTGTAATAATTGCGGAGATGAATATATTGGCGAAACGGGCAAACCTTTGTGTATCCGTATAAAAGAACGCCTAGATGACAAACGAAAACTAAGACGAAGCACCCCACTAGGCTCGCATAGAATGCAAAAGCATAGCGGAGACGATTTTGAAGTAAAAGTCAATATCCTTGCACAGGAGTCCAAAACACCAGCGCGAAAACTCCTTGAGGCTTTTTGGATCAATGCCAAAAACCCTACAATGAATAGCAGGGATGAATGCCCGGAGGTCATACGCGACCTGATCCCGTACGTTCGCATCGATCTTTGATGTGGGATGGCGCAATCGTCAACCACATGCGACTATAATCAGCTGTTCAAAATTTCCTCATTGGAAGTCACGAAAAAGCGGTGGGTTTTTCGAGAATNCGGGCAAACCTTTGTGTATCCGTATAAAAGAACACCTAGATGGCAAACGAAAACTAAGACGAAGCACCCCATTAGGCTCGCATAGGATACAAAAGCATAGCGGAGACGATTTTGAAGTAAAAGTCAATATCCTTGCACAGGAGTCCAAAACACCAGCGCGAAAACTCCTTGAGGCTTTTTGGATCAATGCCAAAAACCCTACAATGAATAGCAGGGATGAATGCCCGGAGGTCATACGCGACCTGATCCCGTACGTTCGCATCGATCTTTGATGTGGGATGGCGCAATCGTCAACCACATGCGACTATAATCAGCTGTTCAAAATTTCCTCATTGGAAGTCACGAAAAAGCGGTGGGTTTTTCGAGAATTGTTGATCATGTGATTGCCATAGAGTTTTTCGTCTTTTTGTAAGTGTCATTGAAGCGTTTGGCCTAGTAGATTGTATATCAATATACCCTTCCAGGCTCTAAAGAAGGCGATACTTCCGGAACGTCAGCTACTGCTGTGTTGTACTGTGTTTTTCTATAGAAGTAAATGTATGCTGTTTAACAACCTCGCGGTTGCTGAACAAGGAAACGACGCATTCATATTCCAATGCCGAGGTTAATAGAAAGTCGATCCTGGGAACTGAAAACTGGCAAATTCAGGTTCGTTTAAAGTTTTTTTTCTATTTTGAAAGACTCACTTTCACACCTTCCATTACCTCTAGCACTGCATTCGTTTCGCCGCATCCGCCATATGCTAAAGGTTTTCGAACTTTTCGCCGATTGTATCCACAATAATAGGATAATCGAGATACGACGCTTCCACGTGGATTGGAGAGGGTGAGTTGAGCCCCAACAAGCCTGGTACCAATTTCTCGATTTGGGAATTAGTACACCTGTGCTACCTTCCTCGTAAAAATGGTGCAGTTTATTCCAAGCAGAAAACAAAACTAAGTGGTGGATAGGACAAAAAGAACAATTAGACTATTTTGAACGAAAAGATCATAGGTTGGATTGGTAACATCAATAAGAGCAACACTATCAACGAGCGCAACAGGTCCAAAATTCACGACTGCTAGACTGCCTTCGAAGACTATATTTGCTTTAAATATTTGTGTTGGTCACATTCTTCTTCATTGATAATATGGATAAGGTGTTGTTGTTTGAAAATAAATGTTGACACTGATAGAAAACAGAACTAGTACGATTAATTCTTTTCTAGTCGACTTGTTGGATGGTGCGTGATGTCAGTAGTACATTCCAAAAAAGCGGAGGTACGTTAAGAATTCTGATTATTTATACATGGACTTCAAACCAACTCACCTGACGACGTTATAGAAAAAACATCCCGCATCAGATGTAAAGTCGGAAGCTGAAAGTCATGTGTCCGATGGGTTCGATAAAGAGGAAGAGAAGGCTAGTGCTTGGTTCGATTCGTTCGATTTCCACAGAAAGCCACAGATGAGCGGCGCCCCTTCTTCATGTTTTGTACAGATTTCAGTCCACTAAGAATGATAGTTGGGACGTCGCAATTACATTTCTCTTTTTGTTTCTTAATGAATCGTGACCTTTTGCGTTTTAAAACGTAGAAGAATTTCTTTTAGGTCTTAAAAGAACTTGAATTCTATCACGGTTTTCTGCCTCGTGAAGATTTATTTTGTCTATTAAAATACGTTGGAGAGTTTCTTGTAAGAGTTAGTGAGGTGAGCTGCAATGAAATCATGTCCTCCAGTATTCTCAACATCCAATAAAGTCCGAAATTTGCAAATCACACCCGAAACTGAGAAACCAGTAAGGACTTTAAAGAGAACCCTTCGGAGAGCAATAATCTGAATGACAGCATTCAAAATGAATTGCTGCTATGGTGCTTACATTCAATTGTTAAGAAGTTATAACGTGTGTATAAAATCCGCTTACTTTATGGGCAATATTGTCAAAGTGGTCGTTTTCACTGGTGGCTACTCCAGATTGTCCTTATCTATGGATCAATACTTGATTGATTCATGTTTGATAGCTTACGAAAAACTATGCAACTTCTTCCTCACTTTCAAGGATTCTTGGATGTCCCGTCTCCACTGATTATGCAAATCAGAATAATTTCCACTTTTTCGGAGTTTTGCTGGTTTAGCCATTGTGGTTCCTTGGAGACCCGAGGTCAGCACGGCCAAAGTCTGCCCCAGGTCGTCACCGTAACATGCAGACACCGTCCTTCTGGATCAGAGCGAGATTTCCCACTATGCGAATAGTTTTATAACAGAACGGTGATGAATCGTGGTATTGGTTTACTCTTAGCGGGTCTTCTTGACAGAAATGCCCTGACTCCTTCCCATCTTGGGAGACCTTCCTGGAGGATGAATCTCTCCGCTGTAAATCGAAGCACAACACCCTGGAATGCCTCCCAGCCAAGATGAGGTGGTAATCCGTTGAGAGGTCGGACGGCATCTCTATGTGTGGTGGTTACGACCAGAGAACGCTCTAAGAAAGCTGCCCATTCTTCCATAGTAGATAACGCCCAACAATCATTCGATGTCCTAATGAATTAGGACAAGACAGCCCTGAGTGAATGATAGTTTAAAGACAACGAAGTTGGGTATGCGCGACATATAAGGAAGGGCTATCTAAGTATCCAAGCATATATTATCGTTATCGTTTAGCGACAATTTTTTGAAAACGACTTCAAAGAAGAAAATGCAGAAAGATAAGAAGTGGAGTCGCCTTCGTGAAACGACAGTGGTGCAGCCGGTTGTTATTAATGCACTCGCCCTTGAAATAGTTGCCTAGCTTCTTCGTCACTCCTTATATTTTATGTCTAATGCTAGAATCTTAGATGCCCTTTCCTCATTGCCTGAGCACTTTCTACAGCCATTCTGTGGTTTGAAATTCCGATTGTGATTTGAGTCTGAAGAATTTGCTGTTCTACTTGTTCGAGAGTGGTTTTCCATTCTCTTCTCTTTTGCACCCTCTTGGGACCGTCAGAACCGGATTGCTAGTTGATGCACGCGCCTAGAACTTATACATAACGGCAGCGATCCTTCTGTGAGTGAACTGACTACACCATATAATAACATTGTTATCATTCTTTTACTATGTGAAGCAAAGGTTTGGAGTGGCTACGGCGTCGCATATTTGCAAGTATTCCTAGGTAGTTCATGCACTCCTGACTCAACATTAGTGAGCACAAATAATGATTTTTTTGAGCAAACACACCGTTATTAAAACAAAATTTGTGCAAAAGTGATGACATTTGGATTTTCTGGGCCCTTTCAAAGCCTAAAGTCAAGTTCACCCGCAATCACTCAGCAAAGCTCTTTCATAATCTCGGCAGACTCTACACCTCACGTGAAACCAAATAAAATATTTCATTAAGCGCCGAAGCAGTAGCGCACTAAACTCTTAAAGCGGTCTGGATAAATTCCTGAAAGCAGAAATGAATCGCAAGGAAGAATGCGTAGTTATCACGCTTGGCTTCGCTCCATACACCCAGGATATTTTTTTAACCTGAGCAGGGCAGACTCCTCACTCGGTGTAAAACTCTATGTGGCCGGTCTCCAGCAATAACTTAAAGACTTATGAAGAAGAAAACGGTGAGTTAACTTCTTTATTTACTGCCTATTATAGTTTTTCAGGGCAGGGTATTATGTATGGTACAACCACAGTGGTGCTGAGATATTTGCAAAACATCGGGCCGGAGGTGACTGCGGTGGGGAACGAACGCGCTATTACCCTTTCTGGGAACTAACGCGTTCAGCACCACATCATGGCACTGATTGATAGAAAACTGTTTGAGAGACCGGTGAAACGAAGAACCCGCATTTTGCGGCGGTGAACGCGTTAGCCCCCGAAAACGGTGAGTGTTTGAAAGAAGCTGTTTTCTATGTGGATGAGAATTCATGTATTAAACTTGATCTGCTGAGCTTATGAAATTGTTTGACTGAGTAGAGTGCGTTTTAATTTGACCATTCTAGGCCCTGAACAAGGCGAAACGGCCAACGTTAACCATTGTTAAGAAATTGTATATAAACAACCATGTGTATGCTCCAAAAGGGACATTAACTTATTGATCATCACCGAGATCAATAGAAAGTCGGTCCTGGGAATAATGACAGCAGTCGGATTTTTTGCATTTGAAATCGAAAAGGTTATACAGCCATCAAAACTCGTGTGCCTTACAGGTCGATAATGATCCTCATCAAAAAATTAAACGTGAGATAATACTGTCGGTCGTATGTGAATGTGGCCCAAGTGAATCAACTCTACCACCAACACCTGCAGATGAGAAAGAGGATGAAGCGCAAGGTAAAAAAGGTTATGAGAAGAAAGTACGAGGTAAGGTGAGTTCAGATGCCTTCAAATAAAGCTTCAGATTGAAGTGCAGTTGTAATGCATATTAATCGCCGCTGTAAGGATTTTTCGTCATCCAAAACATAAAGTGATCACAATCGGTCGATAGGGACCAATAGTTGGATTACAGCAACTCGTCCACGCGGTGAATTTAAAAATGTACAAGTTCCCGTACACTAGCCGTTCACATATAATTTATATATTTCATCTGTTTAAGAATGCTTCATCATCTTTGAAAACTACAACGCGAATTCATTGAAAAAGAGCCATGTAATGGACGCTGACAGTAGCGATAGAGTGGAAACAGAGCTGAGAGAAAGGCAAAGGTTCGAAGTGCACCTGAGGTTCCGACTTTTACTCATGTCTCAGCATCCATATGACTACACATCATACTCTGCCGTGAAAGAAGAACAGGCAGGAATAAAAGTTAGAACATGAGATGGTTTTTTTTTTTGATGAATTCACTGCGAATTTTGGAGCGCTTCCTTTAACATTTTAATGAGTTTTCTAACAGTTTGAAATTAGATTTATAGAAAAAAGTGATTAAGCTGCAAAAGGAAACAAATTTTGAGTACTGGTGATGCAAAACTAATCGTAAATCCAGTGGAGTAGAGGTGCATCACATATCACTCTTGTTTCGGGGCGAACTGGCCGATATGCATCAAATACTCTGCATTTCCTCTTCGTTTGTTTATTTTGTTTACTATGGTCTTCTCACTGCATTTTCCTTAATCATTCGATAGTTTATCCAACACGGATTCCCTGGCGGATGTCGTCCAGATAGAGCTCTATTCTACACCTAGAAGTATACCAAACGCCTTGTATCAGTTCACACACTCGTGTATAAACTACACATATATAAAACATACTTTAAATGTATCAGAAACTTTTCTTTATGCCTTAACTAATGTGGCCTGACGGTGGGCGAGTCTCCTCATCGCATAAAAGTTGGAAACATTCCAGAGGCGTGGGGATATACAAAGGAATATGGAAGATACATAGAAAGATACATACAATATTGAAAACATGAAAATTTCCAACAAAAATACAAAAAAACGAGTTGTAGAGTAGGCAGAATGTGGAACAAAAAGGGCAGGATGAATTGCTGAAGGGGTGCACTTTGTCCGAGGTACACGATTCACCATGCGAAGGGCCAAAACTAGGCGCTATGTCGAAATTCGGAATCGTCACTTTTCAGCTGAAAAATGTTATCATAAGAAGGAAAAGTGGTAGATATCTGGTTGAAGTGGCCAGATTATTTGAAACGATTCCACAGCTAATCAATCACTATCGAGTCACACCAGGAAAATTAAACAAGGTTGGACATATTCACAAATTTTTTCATCAGCTCAGAAGCTAGAAAATATCTCTACGCCATGCTTGCAGATAACCTTTATTTTAAAATATCCAATAAAACAACAACCATGGGAATATAATCATAGTGATGTGCAACAAGGCCGATTACTGGGCGAAGGGGCATTCGGTGAAGTTCGTGCTGGCACGTTGAAGTTGAAGAATGGACGATGTGTGGATGTCGCTATCAAAGTGGTGAGATTTGGTTTTTTTCGGCATTTATAATAAATAAAAAGCATAAAGTGTCGACATTGATCCTAACGGACGCGCCACACATTCGACTTTGTCAGCCATTGTAGAGGTCACCGAATGTACATCCTGCCTATGCAATGACTCACGGTGGCCTACCAATTAGCAACTCAGTTATGTTAACCTACCAAACAAGTCTGGTATTGAGAACTGACCCCGGTGGAATGAAAAGCTTGGCAAGCCCGTAGCTCGGAATCGAACTCGTGGCCGATCCGTGTGTTGCAGGCCAACCCTAACTACCACCGGGCTACACGAGCCCTGTTATAGTTTTATTGTTGACAAATTTGAACTCATTTTTTTGCTATGCCCTCTCTTCCCTTGATTGTATACCTGTGAAAATCTTTTATTCTGAACTATGACTTGAATTTGTTGTTTACGATCTTCATTTTAGACAAAAGGTTGCAGTGATCTTGGTAAAGCAAAGATTAAAGAAATGATGAAGGAAGCGCGATTGATGAGGAATTTTAAAGTCTGTGATTTCGGCTTTTGTTTTCTCAAGTAGGAGACTGTATTTAATACTCAACAGTTTCAGCATAGAAATGTCGTCCGTATTTATGGAGTGGCTGTAGATGAGCAGCCGTTATATATAATCCTTGAACTCGTCAGCGGTAAGTTGTAAAAGGAATAAGTAAAATTGATATCAACTGTGCAAAAATGATAGGACGAGAATCTTCCTAGACCGTTATTGGTCTTGGCTGTTACGCTGCACCGATTGTTATTGTTCGTGGGAGGGGGACTATAAGTTGATAGCCAATAGCGAACAAAGTATGTTATTGTCAAAAACTAATATTCTATAGGCTTCACACTTTCTTGTAACTCTGCATTTCCTCCAACAGGTGGTGCACTAAACACGTTCCTGAAGGAGAATGCGAATAAAGTAGAAGTGAAGCAGAAACTGGACATGTGTCTTGGGGCCGCTCTCGGTGTAGAATATCTTCATTTGAATCAGTGTATGCATCGAGATCTTGCTGCAAGAAATTGTCTCATAACCACCGACAAGATTGTACGTGATAATCCTTTTCTTCTTTTTTTTCGTTGAATTCAAGATGAGAAAACGGGGGAGCAACTTCCTTGTTATCAGTAATGGGGTGTTGAACGGAGTGGTCAGCAATCTAATCGCAGGAAAAAGATGGTTTTATGTGTCTTCCGAGCACGACATTTTTCCACCTTGAAAAGTGGGTCGTTTTATGGATTTTTAAGACCGGTTTTGTGCCTGAACTAGAAACTTTTCCGCAAGCTTCTCTTGCACTGCCATACTTTCTAGTACGCCTAAAGCACCTCACAAATCTTTTATTCCTTGAAACCTACAGCGTATAAAGATTATAAAGCATTCAATAGATGTTTATAGTTATGTGTTATACAAAAGTTCGTTTTAAATCTGCACATGTAAAATTATCTTATAACCAAGTTGTTTTTCTTCGTGCGGTGAATCATGATGTTCGGCAGATTGTGTGCATTTTTTTTTACTTCAGCGCTAACTATTTTTTCGGTATGTCGGGTCTGTTTCTTATTAAAAAGAATAAATCATTCAGCACTGACCAGTGGCGCCATTAATTCAACTCCTTTATTCATCGTGGAGATGATTAAATGCAAATTTGGTCTAGGCGGTGACTCGAGCAGCGTTGTCGAATTAGCAAGCCAATGTTTTCATTCCTCAAGAAAATATTACATCAATCTTCCGGCGTATGAAGGAAGCACGACGAGGAATGGGATCGAACCAATAACTCACTGTGTATTGCGTTGCACATATAACTACTGCTCTACATACATCCCTTTTCACCACCTACTATCAAAATTGTTAGTGCAAAAAATTGCAGCAATATAAATGATAAGTTTCGACCGAGTAGAGCTAGTTCGATCTAGTGTTCTTTTTATTAACACTGCAACGTTTAGTGACCATTACCCAACTATAGTAACGTTTCACTTAAGTGCAGTTTGCCTTAAATAAATCCTAGTTGTTACAGGTGAAAATCAGCGATTTCGGATTGTCAAGACTGGGTGTTCAATATAAATTAAAGTCGGCAATAAAATTACCAATAAAATGGCTTGCACCGGAGACGATTACCACGTTCACATTCTCGCTAAAGACGGACGTGTTCAGTTTTGGAGTGCTCGTCTACGAAATATTTGCAGACGGTACTGAACCATGGGACGGACAAACGAATGCCGAAGTAAAAGGGGCGGTTCGTTTACAAAACATAAGACTGTAAACTTCACACATTCGCAGTGTGAACGACGAGTGTAGACAGAGTACTACAATATATCGAAATATATACAACATTTGAACGTAATGTGTCAGTATTTTGTATAATTTGAAATTCCGCTGACAACGGTGAAATTAGAACGGTCACCAGAAACTCCGCTCATCGCCGTGGAGCATGCCTAGGTTACCAGGTATCTTTTACCAGGGAATCCTTTATCATATCTTAAACCTCAACCAGGCTTCGGGATGACAATGTCGACTTCATTCTCGGCTTTGTAGTCCACCTGGTGATTGAGGATCGCGTCAGAGCGTTGTTTCTCAACGACGAACAGATACTTGATACAAATTACTGTCGATATGTCAAATAAAGAGTAGAACATCTAAAATTTTTCTTAAAAAAGTTTCTTGAATTTTATAAGAAATTCCTTTGGAGGAATAACACAAAATAACTTGGTCAGTAGAAAGCAATGGACTCCGCTGCTTTCTTGACTGTCAGATCGACTAGCGGGCTTTCTTATTCCCCACACATACTTCAACACGTCCGCATCCTCTTTTCTAAATTCATGTGAATTTTCAGCGATTTTTTAAAGTTCATCGTTCTGTCACCCATAAAAAAAACACGGCAAACCAGCAGTGAAGAAACATTCCTCTGGTTTAGGTTATTGGAGGCAAGTGCGTCACTTTTCCAAAGAGCACACCAGAAAAAGTGAAAAAGTTTTTTGTCGAACGGGTATTCGCTAAGAATCCTGAACAAAGAGCAACGATGACAGAAGTAAGTTTTAGAGCTTTTATCTATCATTAGTACAATTTTTTATCTAACTGGTAACTGTTAGATTAGATTATTAAAAATTTTAAGAGAAACGGTAAAATTTTGAGTGAAACACTGAAAAATACACTTTAGGTACATTCTCAGTAAAGAGGGTCTATAGGTCATTAAACTTTACAGAGTTCAAATAATTAAGGGTTTAGGATAATTAAGGATAAGAATACAGCATTCATTAACGCTAATATTGCTATCTTAACTCTTTTATTTACTGCCTTTTTCTTCTTAATGGCAGGGTATGTTGTGAAATATAACTCGTATGAAGTGCTGAGATATTTGCAAAACTCCGGACCACAGGTGTATGCAGTGGGGAACGACCCGGATGGTGTAGTGGTGAAGTGCGTTGCTCCCCGGTAAGACAACAGCGCGTGTTCGTTCCCCACTGCATACACCTGTGGTCCGGAGTTTTGCAAATATCTCAGCACTTCATACGACTAATATTGCTCTCCTATGGTTTTCTGGGCAAGTTACGATAAGATAGAATAGTTCAAGAGGATGCGGTTCATCCAGCTAAATGCGCAATGCCACTGATACATTGGTGCGCCCTGATAAGTATTTATACGAACTACAATACAGCTAGGTGAGTATGTAGCGCATTAGTTAGAGGTACTCCGCAATAAACAGGTGGTCATCGGTCCGATCTCACACGCCGGGCTCACAAACCCTTCCGTGCTTCAGGGAACTGCGAATTGCTACCGAACTTGTCTGCGAAGGAAGCAGTACTGATTCGGTATATCGGTAGGCCACCGAAAGTCATTTTATAGGCTAGATATGCATTCATTCATTTTTAACAATAAATGAATTAACGAAGTCGAGTGTACGCCGCATACCTCAAGGATCGATCTACGCGGAGAGTTTTATCCTTCTTATCCTTTACAGTTGAGGTAAACTGGCATTCACACTGCGGTAGGCAATGGTTTCCTCACAGTCAAAGCAAGCTGCACTCAGCGGATTCCAAGATTCCGTTGTTTTCCCAAACGACTTTTTAAATCGCCAACGTGTGCACATCATTTTAGTCATAACCACCATACTCCTCATAATTTTAACATGACTAAAATAAAACAATTATTTTAGGTTGTAAAACATCTACAAGCATGTGGTGCTTCACAGATCGGAAGCACGCGAATATCTCAAATGTCTGAAGTGAGGCACAGTACCGAAAGTCGACGTAGTCGTTGAAGAATTATGACAAAATCGACAATGTCCACCGAGAGTCTACACCTTCAATTTAGTCTTTTCATCAGTAGTAACATATTTTCTAAAAAGCAACATATTTGTCACAAAATCCGCACTCTATTACTGTATCTGTGCTTACCTTAGCGTGAAATAGATTGTTGATTTATGAATATTCCATTTCGAAGCTTCTCAACAATAAGTGATGGATTTTGGTCAGTAATTCCTCTAAATAAATATTTTAAAGAAAAGTTGACGAAGGATGATGCCAATCTTTCTTTTGCACTTTTTGTTCTACTTTTTTTTTCTAAGCAATCTTAACGTGAGGAGTACTGAATTGAGTACTAAAGAATCGTTTGAAAAATGTTAGTGGTTTCTAGTTTGCATTTTTAAACTGGGATATGTCAGCTCAGAACAAACTTTGTTATTCAATGCAGAAACCGTTGGAATTTACACCCAAAGTTTTGCCAACGAGAAACAAGTTTACTTTTACCAATTGTAGGAATTGTAGTTCTCTCGAGGCGATGAAGTTGTTTATGGCAGTTTCGGCGTCGGCTTCTTTTATTTTGCAAGGCATTTCTGGTATTACGCAATGGAGGATTCTTAAGGACGTAGCAGTTTGTAGACGAGAGGTCTGGCGTGTTGTGGATGAGGTAATGTAGCTCAGTTCATTCAACTTCTGCAACTTCGATAGTGCGACATATGCGCACGGGTTATCGTGAAGAAGGATTGGTCACTTTTTGTTGACAAATGCGAGGCACGGACACAGAAGTGCTCCATCCATTTGCAGTACCTACTTTTTAGCTGTAATGGTTTCACTGGGATTCAGGAAGTTGTGAAACTAGTTGTATGCCAACGAACGTTCCACATAACCTTTTTGTGGTACAGTTCGGCTTTCGAAAATGCCGTCGAGCTTCGTCGAGGTCGAACCATTGAGGGAATCGACACCGATTATCACAGAGGATCCAGTTCTTGTCGGTCATCACAGTGCGATTGAGGAACGGGTCGTTCTGGCTGTGCAGAAGAAGCGTCGATGGTACTTCAAAAAGGTGGTTTCTTCAATAAATATTGGTTTCGTACTGCTACCTCCTTGTCGAATTTTTTCCACTTTCCAATTATCTTCAAATGCTTTCGTTAACACTTTCAGCGCGGTAACGTCGAAAGACTCCATCACGTACGCGTTATTAGGAGACGCGTTACGTACACGTTCTAGGAACATTTGGGTGTTTGTGAGGTGAGCTGGAATGTGGTTAAGCAACTGGGTAAGTATCAGGCTTAAAAACCAGGTTATTCTATCCGTTGGCCCGTCTACACAGCTGATGATCGGTCTAACCTTAAATGATGACGGATTGGTTGACGCATGATCATCAGGTGATACCAACTTATGTGTTTTAATAAGTAGGTATAGGACGGGACATGTTGGTCTATCGATTTTAAAGTGCGAAACAACCGATGATTTTAAACCCGCAGTCTTTGCCACGCTGACCCATTGATTGCTTAGCTTTCGGTATTGACTTTTATATTCCTTTTCAGAGGATGGGCGATAGACGTGTGAATTACCCAAAAGATTTTCGAATTTCAGTTGTAAGGTTTCCGCAAACGAATTCCTTACGTTTCTGATAGTAGTCAAAATGAGGTTGATAATGCACCAAGAAAATTTAGGGTCACCGTGATTGGGGCCATAACAATACCTGAGAATGCGCGCTCGCTATTAGAATTGGGCCCAAGTTTTGCACCATCACAGCCCATTTCTAAAACGA